ATTTTTCCTTTATTTTTACCCAAGCACCATTGTTTTGGCATCCAATCCATCGACAGTCATCCTAAGATAAAATGTGGAAATACACTGAAAAGTCAAGATTAAATCATCACTGTCATTACTTTTTATAAACATAGTTTCTCTTGTGTGGAACGTAGCAATCTCAGGCGGCTACCGTAAATGAAATACATGTAATAAACGCCCGAGGAGTCTATTTCATTCAAGGGGTCCAAGTGGGGGCTTTTAATAGATAGGAAGCGTTTAAAAGACAGAGGCGTTTATTCCCAAAACTGTAAAAAGCACAGTAGAAGTAATATGCTTTCGGAAAAAAATAATATTATCAAGAGAGCTTAGCTTTAAAATAGCGGAATATCCACTCCATCAATTGTTACGTCTAGGCCTTCAAGAGATCCATATCGCTCTTTCAAATCCCAACACCGATGTCAGAATCCTCGCTCAGGGATTATGTGTTGCCATCGTCAGTCTATCCTTACTTTGAACTTGACATTTAACAATAAGACGAAATACACAAGGCCCTGTTAATCAAGCAAGAAGCTGAATGTATGAAATGATTTTGCTCCTTTTTTCCACTTCTTAGTATTTTAGAGTACAATTCTCTTACGGGGGAGTTTAGAGAGGGGCGTCTAATACAATTTTAAGAGCGTAGAGGCGGTGTCTATCAGATAAGAGTCGTTTATGTGGAAAAAAAGCGTTTATTAGGTCATTTACGGCATATTTGGCTAGCCCCTTTAATTTCCATCGCAAATTCACGATTGAGTTGTGGAATTGGCTAGAGCGCCGGGCACCTTTCCTTGGACTTCACTCGATTATAATCCTACCAATGTAAAATTTCAGAGTTCCTGGTTGTTAAATCTAAACAGGAAATAGGAGATAACCATGCATTTGAGATATGGGTAACATTAAAAATCGAAATTTAAACCGGCCATAAATGGAAGTTTCCTCAAAAATGAAGTTTATTACCTGCAAACGACTTCCGATTCTATTTGCCTTTCCCAACATCTACTCTTCCCATAAAATATAAGAAATTATATCGAAAATATTTTACCGAAAACCTCCATTTAGAAACATTGTAAATCTGGAATATTAACGACGTGCAGAATACACGCGAGCTAGCTAAATGGCGACAGCGTCACAATCATCAAAAATGTCTAATTTTTCTATTTTTTTTCCAAGTTAATTATTTTTTGAAAGCAGGACGGATTTAATTTAGATATTAAATATTCTTTTAGTCTTTAACTCCTGACTACCGCAGAGCGAGGGCAGAATGATATTTTTTTTCAGCTTCTTATCGGCTAAAAAAAAGGGAACTATTTCCGTTAAAGTTTTAGATTCTAGTCAAACTAAACAAATCTTAATTCAAATACGGCGTCTATTTTGACTGGTACAAATGCAGTTTTTTTTAATTAAAATAGTTAAACTAAATTTACTAGTTATGAAAGTCAAACAGTTGTTTTCCTTTTTTCTTATCCACTTAAAAAATCCGTGATAAAAAAGAGCATTTATCATCGCGATTTTGAACTGACATACAGTGAAAGGGCTGAATTTCACGTTTATCACTTAAATTCTGCATTCTAGTCAGAAATTATATTTACGAAACTACAGAATGTTTTCGACGCTATTTTCTTTGTCGAGCATTTGAAACTTTTGTACTGAAATGGTCCCTAATTTTCACCCTTTCATTTACCCTTTAATTATCTTTTAGAAAGTCATTGTGGCAAAAAGGTTGTTATATATCTTTGTTTTGGTTTCCAGATATACTTGAAGATGCATGTATTTATACTCTTTTGTTTTAGGCCCGAATGTGTGACCCGTCTCCATGCTGTGCGTATTTGATGTTCGTGGATGGATTGGAAAAAAAGGTTTGCGACAGAAAGCCTTAATTTCTAACCTCCTCAATGGAAATTATATTGAATAGATGTCTTAATGCATAGTGAGTCAAATTTCAGATGGAGTTCGTGGTTGTGATATCTGCGTGGTTGTGAGTTCTGAGCGGGTGACAAAAAAAAGGTTTCATTAAAATTTGGAAGGAAAAAACACCGAATAATTTAATTTCCTATTCAAAGTATTTCCGAAATGTGCCATTTTCATTTAGCCCTCTTGTCAACCTACACCGGTTGTGAATAACTGATCTTGTTTATATTCCTTCTCTTTTAAAATAGAAACTAGGTGAGTTTAAGAAAAGGAGTTGTTTTAATGAAAGTCAGGTGATATTCTAGGCGATCGAGTTTCTGCAGATTACTGGGATTATTTTTTTCCAAAAAAGTTCGTGCTTTTAACTCCATAAATGAAAATCTCCCTATCACTGCGAATTTACTCTATCCTTTTTTAAAATGGAATCGATGAGAGTGGCCAATATAAAGAAAATAATTGTGTGCATTACAGATTATGTGTCCACAGCTCATTAAAGTTCCACTAACATAAATTTATGAAGTTTAAAACTGATATAATGTGTAACTGCTGCCGGAAAATGAGACCAAGAATG